CTGAAGCATCGTGGTCACTACAGTGGACAGATATTTGGAAGCCATTTTGATCTATTTAAGATGTAGCATCATGTCCCAATCACCAACTGGCGAACCACCAAAGTGTTGTCTACGATTCCATTTAATTGTCTTTTTATCAATTTTTTTGTTTTGAGATATTATTGTATAATATATTCAAAATGGCCACGGGAAAAGGGGAGGCACCATGTAACTTGGGAACAAGTGTTAAATACTTTTACTTTCCGATTTTGTCTGTCCAGGTAAGGCATGTCCCAGATCTACAAAACAAACAAATGAATAAATAAATAATAATAATTTAAAAAATCAATAAATTTCTCAATCTCACACATAACTTGGTCCCTTGTTTAAATAAATTAACTTGAAACAAAATTGAAACAAAACTTTAAATAAATTATATATTAGGGCTGTGAGTTTAACGCGTTAAACTAATTAATTAGTTATGAAAAAAATAACGCGATTAAAATATTTTAACGACGCAGTTAACGCCCCCAGACCTGTGTGTCATCTTACATTTCATACAGTTGACTTGACAAAATATGATGCAGGGCAACAACTCCATTATGCCCTAAAATTCAAGATATTGGGGCAAAAAATGCCCCTGTATGAGTTTTTGTCTCATTACATTTTTTTCTGTGTCAGAAAATATATCTGTCCACTACAATAGACATCATGCATCAAAGGGTATAATTCTGCCTATGGGCCTTTATATAGGTTCTGCCTTATTTGCATGTTTTATTAAAATTATGATATAATTTACACTTGAATGGTTTTATTGAAAAGAAATATTAAATAGTCTTTAACATTTATTTCAATGCTTACAGTCTACATTTATTTATTAGGTTATATAAAACTGTAGGCATGTGTACATGTATACTGTTTGAGTGCATATATATGTGTGCATGATTGTGTTCGAGTGTGTGGTGGGAGGGTGTGTGTGCTTGTGTGTGTTTGTATTTGTGCTCACATGTGTATGAAAAGCCCACTACCCCCCCACCCACACCCCTGGCCCATAGACACACACTCTTACGTTTTGTTTGTTACACTTCACATTTCTGTGCCGTCATGACATAGCTTGTTGTTATTGAATGTTCTTATGTGTATTCAAACCATTTTCACGTAGTAAATATTTTAAAAACATGTTTTTTAAGACCACACATTTAGTTCTATTGATTCACTTTTTATACATTTGATGCATGGTGGACACAGTGGACATATATGTAACTCCCTCAAAATATAATATATTAACAAAAATTTTTTGGCATGATTTTTCACTTGTTTAAAAGTAAAAACAAACATGTAAAAAAATATTACTTTGTGATTTAATAATTCATGCATCAGAAGGCTAAAAAGCCACAGCAGAACTGTTGTGCATCTCCGAGCAACACAGCAGTGTTTAGTTTCTGAATGAATCCGCGTTTTGAACGAATCGTGTGAATCAATGATTCAGTAGCCCATAGAGAGAGCCACTTACTGAATTCCTGAATGAATCAGCCTTTTGAACGAATCGACTCAAAAAGACATTTACCGCCACCTGCTGCTAGTTTTAGCATCTTCTTTAGAGTATCATTTCGTTTATTAAATAAATTAATTAATAAAAAAAAAACATTAAAGGGATAAATAACCAAAAATAAATAAATAAATTCTGTCATCATTTACTCACCCTCATGATGTTTCAAACCTGAATGACTCGCTTTCTTTTGCACAACATAACAGAAGGTATTTTGAATACTGTTGGTAACTACGCTGTTTTGGTCACTAGTGACTTTCATTGCATGAACAAACAATACTGAGATGTTTCTCAAATGATCTTTTTTTATGTTCCATACTTTATGTTAGGCCAATGTAGCCTAAAAATTTAACATGATAACAGCTTTAAATGATCTTTTTGGGGTATTTTCACAGCCAAATTAATTTGCGATTATTTAGAAATCGCAGCATATGTGTGTGTGCGCGCGCGTATATTTTCCTATATAGGCCTACAAACACAGATATAAATATATTTGATAAAAGAAACTGATTTAGAAACAATACATATTATTATACAATATTTACAAAAAATGGAACAACGAAAATAGTCTTATAATAATAAATCAGTATCTATCAGTACTCATTAGAATATGGTAATTTTTGTCTTTATTCTGTCAATAATAGATCCAGGGTTCCCACATCTTATGAAATATGAATTCATGACTATTCAAGTAGCTCGTGATTAGATAATAACTAAAATGTATTTTATAAAGGCTACACTTACAAAGAGTAATGTCTAAGCGATACAAATAGTAGAGCTGAGCATAGCTTGAAAAATCAATGACTAAAAGTTTAAAGTAAACGTTTTCATGAGCGTGGGAATCCTGTAAACCCAGCATAAGCGAAGCAAAAGCACGTTTCCAGAGGGTCCATGACAGGTGGATTCAGGTGTGGTTCACCTGGACCAGGTTTTCATGAACTCTCATGGAACACGGTATTATGAGTATGAGAGGAAGTCGGTATTGCGCGTAACTGCCACACCTAATATTAACTTACTTCACTTCCAAAATCCCAAAGGCTGGTGACTCATCCGCGTTCTGCTGTGTGTGTGTTATTCAGCGCTCTCTCTGAACACAATACACGCACAACGTGCGTTCATTTATCCGCGAAAACAGAAGAAAGCTCCGCGCCGAAAGCCGAGCCCTGTGCCCCGAGCGCAGCCTCTTTCCGGGTTGACAGCAAGTTGAGTTAAAACCAAAACTAAACGCATCCGGTAATGGATCTTTATTTTATTTTTTCCACACACGGAAAGCGGAACTCAGCGGATGCCGTGTCAGAAACGACGCAATAGGCGAGGGTTTGACAAGAGCGTGCGAAACAAGTTGTTTTTATACAAGTACTTTTAAGTTTTAACACTTTTAAAAGTACATTGAAGCATCTGTCAGACGTTATAACGTTAGATTACAGTTTGGTCAGACCGCGAATCATCTGACGTGGTATCCATAGCAACAGTTCGCTGCTCCAGCGCTTTCCACAGCGACCAGTTTCTGTTTTTTACGTTGAGAAAAGTATGAATATATCACAAAAACGTTTACGCGTTTTGATGAAAACTGTGCGAATGGCGACAAATGACAATCTGGAGTGCGCGAGATCAACCTCGACCGATGAAGCCCTGAAAATAACGTTTACATTTTTTTTAAATTCATTGTAACCATGCAAAATTCGTTTAAAACAGTCAACGCCTCTTACAGATTGTGGATCTATTCTAAAAGTATTTGATATGCACTCTAATCACAACTATGTTTTTAATTGTGAAATGGTAAAATACACTATTTATTGCCCAAAGTATTGGGACATCCCCCTCTAATAAACAGGTTGACTACTTTAGTAATTTCCATTTGTATAAATCTTAATGTTAAAGCATATAGGCTAATGATATTCTAGAGAATTGTGTGCTTCTAATTTTATAGCGACAGTTTGGACAGGACCCTTTTCTATTCTAACATGAGAATGCATAGGCTATGTGTATGGCATGTGACTTTAAATGCAAACCTTGAGCCAAAAACCCATCACCAAACACCAATGACTTGTACATGGGCACCGTTATTTTAGACACTTCCAAAACTGTTGCAACAGAGATGGAAATACAATTTTTTAAATACAAGAATTATGTTTCCATCTTTGTTGCCACAGTTTTGGAAGTGCCTTCTTTCTGTTCTAAAGAAGGGGGTGTCCCAATACTTTTGTCTATATACTGTATGTACAAGTCATTGGTGTTTGGTGATGAGTTTTTGGCTCAAGGTCTGAATTTAAAGTCACACCAGAGGTGTTCAGCAGGGATTAGAACTTGGCTTATGCAGACCAGTCAAGTTCTTAAGTAGTCAAACCTGTTCATTAGAAGAGGGTGTCCCAATACTTTTGGTAATATAGTGTATGCACAACTTGCATTTTATAACAATATGTATAAACTTCAAATAAAATACTCCATCACAATCTTTTTTAACATTTGTCTTTGTCAAATAGTTCAACAAAATATTTAATAAAAACATTTGTGCATGTAAATAAACATGCCTCTAGTCGTATTTTAAAAAATACTCTATAAAATTCAAAGCCTGACTTAAAAAAAACATCTTATACCTGTTCTTCAGAAGGTACAGTTGGGATGGTTGTTAAATTTGGCAGGTTTGTACTTGCTTTGTTAATGCTTTGCCTTTGGCACAGCTACCATTACCTGATACCTGTACCAGGTCTTACATGGAATGAAAAATTTGCTAAGCCAAAATAGCGATTTAAATGAGTCAAGGATACTATTACTTAAATCGCCTACTTTGTGTGTACATAATAATGCTAATGCACTAAATCTGGAAAATAAAATAAAAGGAAACAGGTCTTACTGAAGTAACTTTAAGTAAAATACAAACCAGAATCTATAAGGAAGTAGCTTACCTTGACTGTTGACTGTTTTTCCCTTCCTTAGATTTGTTTTTTAACCGTATCAAGTCAGAATATATCAAACAAGTTTGGAATACATTTACACTCTTACAAAGGAGAACTACCAGAACAACAATGAACACTAAATGGGTGATAACAACCTATAATTATAACTAATGATGCGCTATTATCTGTATGTTAAACCTTTTCAGAGCAGAGCCAAAAGTCTAGTAGACTAATCATACAGAAGACATAGGCACATGTTAGTAGCTAAACACATTATAATCAAAGTTTGTTCCTACATTTTTATGTATTACATCTATTGTGAAAACTATACAAATAAACATTGCTTGAATTTTTACATCTTAACACCCACAATAGATACAAGAATATGCTGTGTATATAAATTATGATATAATACGTTTTAAATACACAAAGCTGAATAATGACAACCATATTAAATCAGCTTATTTATTAGAGTTTCAGTCAAATTTCATCTATAAAAAATGACGTCAGGTTAAAACATACTAAAACATTTTCATGACCTACATTTGTACATTTACATTGTATTATAAACTGAAAAGCTCTCAGTGGAAAGCTTATAAATTGTAAGCAAATCCATGAGTAACAAAGATAAATGCTTTAACATTTATGATAAACAATAAATTATTTCTATTAACAAAGGTGTACTTACCAATGGTAAGATATTGGATTTTGAATAAAAAAAACAAAAACAAATTTATGACACAGAACAAGTATCGTTTGAAAGGATCCGTGAGAATGTGTAAATGTTCATTGTTAAAATTCCATTTGTTCCAAAAGATTCAGTTGGTGTGTCTGCAACACAAAAAAACAAAACAAAAGGTAAAAATGATCACAACATATTCTAATATTCCCTAAATCGAGTCATGTTATGCATTGTTCACAGAAGAATGTAAATAATTACATTAAGCATTATTTCATTTTGATAATTTTATAACATTAATAATAACAACTGTTAAAATGAATTTAAAATGTTTAATTTAAAGAAGGAAAAAGGTCTGCTATAGACTACAGTGAGGCATATTATCTTTTTTTCGTACAACTAGTAAGTGCAAGATGAAATAACCTCAGATATATCAGCAGCAGTCACCATATTTTATATGGTGGGACAGATTATGTATAGGAAATGAAACTTTTGATATGATAATGCCATATTCTCAATATTACCAGACTGAATTCAGGCTGAGTGGAGATTTTTGCCTCAGTGCAGAAGAAAAATCTCACTTTGAAAAAATGGCCTTTAAAATATGGATTGAAATCCACAGCTGCAAATAGATAAAGTGCTACAAAAGCAGCACTTAAAAGTGTATTTTGGATGTTTTCTTTCAACCAGTTGCATGAAAAAACAGTGCTTTTGCCTGTAGAGTCTCACCTTTATAACTTTCAGACCAAACCTACAACCTGGTCAAGAGCTAAAGATCAGTCTGTCTGATTACGCTCTCAGTGACAAAGCAAGAAAGCAACCAGGAACCAAGAAAGAGAAATAAAACTTAAAATAACAGGAAACAAGTTTTCACTAGTTCTTTCCAGCCATAATGTGTAACCACAAGACTATAGTGGATAGCAGAATGAGAGATGGAAATTCGAGTCTGCGACTTGACTTGGACTCGAGACTTGATGAAGACAGAAGTCACTGCCGATTATATTCTCTCATTAAACGCCATATTTTTCTATTCATTATATGCGCTGCAGCATCAAATATCACAACAATTCATCTATAAACACACCGAGCCAGCATTATTATATACTGTACACGTGTTATGCATCTGTTATGCATCTGACGCCCATTGGAAAAGTGCGATTATAAGAATGAATGCTTTGGCAAAGCATCTGTCAAACGAATTAAATCGAAAGCGCGGTATGGCTTAGTTCCCTTATCAAATTACGAAAAGGCTGCGAGTTGATTAAATAATTATATCTGTTGCTCTGCATGCATTTTGCCATGTCCAACACAGTTCAGGTGACTGCAACTCCCATCTCTGCATGTGCTGTGTGAGTTTAATGTGCATTTAGGAACGCAATGGCCACCAGTTGCACATTATCTTCACATTCGTATAATTTCCAACATTTTTGTGGACAGATGATTACCGTATTTCACCAGATCTGTAATGAGAAGCATTTGTAAACCTGTTTTCCCTGAAATCTGCAGGTTTCTGGCCAAAATTACAACTCGAGGATTTAACTCTTGCAAGTGAAGAAATTAAGATAAAAATATTATAATTTTCCTATTGTAAAATTGAATAATATATGTATTATAAATGACTCATTTTTAATTTACATTTACTTTACAGTTCAGCTGTATTACAATAGTAATATATTACTGTTTTAGGCATACTACTATTACTTTTAATATCAATAAGTTATAATTGTTTGCCTAATTTCTAAAAAAAAAATAACAAAGACTTGACTTGGACTTGTAAACATGTCTGCGCAGAATACAGGTTAACTGTATGATTTGATAATTTGCAGTGCAATTAAAATCAAAGCTTGCCCATCTGGTGAGTGTGAAGATTATGGGCACAAAGGAAGTTTATGTAAGGTGTAAAATTAATATATTTTATATATTTAAATATAAATATTTTTAATGATGTTTAGCAAAAATGTATTGGGTTATGGTAAATTTTAAATTAAATATTATTAATTTTTAATTATTGAATTATTCAGTTCGATAGGTTGATATTAACTGATGTAAACTAGCCCTGTGAATTTTTCACAAAAACGTAGACTCTTTCGTCGTCACCGATAGCCTCGTGGGCAGCGCATCGACATGTAGCACCATTGCGCTTCGGGCGTCCCGTGTTTCCCGATCCCATCCCCCCTCTCTCTCCCACTTCGCTTCCTGTCTCACTACTATCCTATCAATAAAAGGCAAAAACGCCTAAAATAAATCTTTAAAAAAAAAAAAAAAAAAAAGTAGACTCTCACCAGTAATAAACATAGGAAACCGGTCAAATTAATATATTTTATAAATGTAAATATAACTTTTTTTTAAGATTTAAAAAAAAAATGTATTGGGTTATTGTAATTCTTAAAGTATTAAATTAAATGTTATTCATAAATGTTATTCATAGTACTCCAACTTGAGTACCCAGTACTTCTCACAAAAATCTAAACTCTTACCTGTAATAAACACAGGAAACCGAACAGAGGCGTTTTGGATCTGAAGTCGAGTCAAACAAAAGAGATAGTCGGGTCGGTCCCGTGACATGACATCACAGTCATGATAGGGCAAGACCTCGACTATGCCAGCTTTCTGACAGCAATCTATAAACTGCTGTTTCTTACTTGCTTCAGGACTGGACCTGTCGAGGACATTAGAGGGGAGTGAGATTCAATGCCACAACTGAGTAAGCAAATACTAACTAATCGTAGCTTTTGTATAAACACAATAAGGATCAGTCCTTGAAGGCCCACACATCCAGCGGTGGGAAAGGATTTTTGATACCTTGCATTTTCCCGAAGTCTGCGACTGTCTCTGTAGTGTAGAAGCCATTTCCATTTCCCTTGCTTGTCTAACTCCTCCAGAATCCCAACAACTTTTTTCATGTCGTCTTCATATAAATTTGACAGAATAAGTCCAATGAAAATGTCATAATGTATCAGTCCATCTCCAGTAAAACAACATGCATAATTTGTGTGGCAACTTGACCAGTACCTGGAGTAAGTGTGTTGAGAGCCAATTCATCACATACTATAAAGCCTCCCTTAGCAAAAAGCTCTTGGTGAGTGAAGTTCACCACATCATCGGGTCGGTCGATGCCAGCAAACAGGACACTGGGTGACTTCTTTAATTCCAGCAAATGAGGCACCTGGTTAAATTGAAAAACATTCAGAAGCCAACCTCAATTAAACAAGAAGTTCACAAAGAATCTATTTTTTGAACAACTGCTCTTTTTCCCCCCTCCCTTTACTTACTTCAGTTTGACAATTACAAAAAGAATTACATCCATGCTAATTCAAACCAAAAAAGATATACGTGCTCAACAGATCTGAAACTCCATTTAAGAACAGGCTTGAATTGAGTGCACCATAGCTTTTCTTCTCTTCTTCTAGGAATGTATTGATATTGAAATTATGAAGGATAATGATAAGCCAAGAGTTATTTTCATTTTATGACCGATAACTGATAAATGGCCAATATTAAAATTATACTGTTAAAAACTATTTTGAATTAAGGCATCACAACAGAATGTACAGTTTGAAAAACTATATTTTACTTGATATTTGCTAAAGATTACATTAAGTAGTGTTACAAAATTGTTTAGTGTTTTTAAAGATTAACTTTCCCCCATTTTTTCATTTAGATTATCGCTTACTGTTCGATAACAGCAAAGGCAATTTAAATGTACAAATATGGAATTAAATCAAATATCATATGCAAAATTGACCAATCTACAAATACATTACCAATGTGGCAACTAGGGATGCACCGATACCGATACTGGTATCGGTATCGGGCCGATACTGAGCTCCTGTACTCATACTCGTACTCGTTAAAATGCCCCGATACCAAACAGCATGTGATAAGCGCCATATCCAGATATTCAAACAAAGACAACAGAACAACAGACAGCAGAATGGAGTTAAGGATGTCTACTACGAAGTATATGTATGCAATGAATATAATGTTAAACATTCAGTATTTCATTTATTTTTATTCTTAGGCATACATGACTTTCTGGCGAAAGTGAATCTAGCAGCCTGTGTGAAATGCGCTAGGCTGTACTATTTTGCATCAGTACAAACACGTGCAGGCGTTGCGCGTGTTTTGCTTGCTTGAGTGTTTCTGCATTATATGAGTGGCTTTGGAATATAAATCGCAGCACGTTTCAGATGAAAAAACGCGACTTCTATTTCTGAAAATATCACAGTTAGGAGATTTATAACGAGTGGTTCCCTGCATTATTACAGCAAGGCGCGTGATTACAGTACTAATCCGCTGTAATGGAGCAGCTCTAATGCTATTAAATTACAGATGATGTACCATAGAGCAAAAAAATGAACAGTGAAAGTAACAAAAACATTTTTTACTAGTGGGTGCAGGACACTATAGTTAATTTATGTAAGTGAGGATAGCAAAATAAAGTAAACCGTGACAAATCATACCCAAAAATTCTTCATACAGTGGACTACCAGTAAAATTGATGTAAATTTGGGACCAAAAATTATTCAGACCGAGTCTGGGTAAAAAACACTTAAGTTGAGGTTTGCATGAAGCTGGGTGACAGCATGCCCAGGAGACTTTGGTTTCTGTACCCAATATTAAAAAAATTTTACAAATGCAATAAAAATATTGGTATCGGTACTCGGTATCGGCAAGTACCAAAAATAAAAGTATCGGTATCGGGCGAGTACTGGAAAAAGTGGTATCGGTGCATCCCTAGTGGCAACAATACAGTGCATCCTTAGCATAATTAGTCTATTTTATGTCAATTTTTAAAGTTATAATTTTCTCACAGCATTTAATCGTGTCTTTTTTTACTAAATGAGCCAATGAAATGATTCAAGCTGCCATTTTGCATCTGGGTCAAATCATCCACTTAAAAGATGATTTACACATTTCAAAAAACAAAAAAAACATTATTTTCCACATACTGTACATTATTGTTTCTCCTCTATGCCCCGCTTTTCTGAAACGCATCGATTTTTACAAAGCTCATCGTTCTGAAAAGCGAGGTGTACGCTGATTGGCCAGCTATCCAGTGCGTTGTGATTGGCCGAATACCTCAATCGTGTGACGGAAATGTTACGCCCCTTACCATACTGTGATGCCGTGTTCCTTTAATAAAATTTTGAGTTTCACTCATTCACTTACCTCACATATGTGCTCTGCAATGTCCTCATTCCTCAGTATAATGAGCAAAGGGGATTGATCATCACCATTGAGGTCAAACTCGTCCGGCTCAACCGGTTTGTGGCCCTCAATCTCTAAAAGGTTCTATAAATCATAGAAATTCACATAAAAATCTTTCTTCACTGTTTTGGACCACTTTATAAGATTCTTTTAATGCATTAACTTTCTTACCTTGGTTTCTTCAAAGAAGGTATCTGTTGATGTGACAAGGATATAAAACCTGTACTTGATCTTAGCTTGACTCACAATAGACTTTGGACTGTTAAAAACATCTTTCTTGATGCGACCACAGAATCCAGAATAACGGCCCACTCTACCTCGATCAAACTTCCTCTTTCTTGCCTCAGTTGGACGAGGCAGAGTCTTCCCGCTGCAGACATCGTTCATCATGGACTTGTATGCAACAGCGCATTGCTCTGTTATTTCTGATATCCCGGAGAACTCAACACCACTGCCTTTTTCACAGAAAAGTCTTTGGAGATGTGGTTTACGGTTTCTCACCGTTTCCTTCATTTCTTTCCTGTCAGACATGTCCACTTTAATCTTAAAATCGGTAAGTGGTGGTTGTGCTGTACTAAGTTCAGCGGAACTCTCTACTTCACTGAGATTTGAAAACCGAACGGTCATGGGACATGAAGCCGGGTCAGGATTTGACCTACAGTGTGACGTGGTAGAGCTCTTTGTTTCTTTGAGAACCCGATTAATTTTTCGAGAGAAGATAAGGTACTCGCAATCAAGTGCAGACAGGGTCACGTCAGCCTTACTTTGTTGTTCCTGCCATTCATTAAAAGAGTCTTCAAGTCCCTTAGTCAAACTACTTCCATCGAAAGATGGTTTCATGGTGGGAGAGTTATTGAATATAACACGGTTTCCTTTCCTGTCCAAAATGGTAACAATGGATGAGGGTGGAATGTCAAATTTGTTATCCCTCTCACTCGCATCTAATAGCTGACTGCAAGTCACCTCCCTTCTGAAATACCTGCGCCAGTCAAACTGCTGCGTGCTTGGCTTAACATGTGAAGTGGAACTAACTGTGAACGACCTAGTTGGCTTTGTTTGATACGTTTCAAAGTATGATGTTTTTTGAATGCTGTCAGAAGGATCATCATCCCACTCAGCATTTTGACAGAATTTGCTTTTTCGAGACTTCTTTTTTGAACTTCGGGCTACTTCTGTCTCATAGTCTGCAGTGCAAGTAACCTTTATTGGGTATTTGAAAGATAGAGTGTCCGATTTATAATTCTTTTCTGCCCAACAGTAGTCATCCCTCTCTGTCTTTGCATGCTCTTTGTGCTTGTAGGAATAGTCACGTTCAGATGTAATGTACTTGGAACAAATGGGTGAACCATTGTCACCACCAGAGTCGTTTCCACATGGGTAAAATTGGTGATCAACGGATTCCTCTGTTTGGTAATCATGCCATGGCATAGATTCATCAGATCTGTGGTAATATCCATGTAAATTGTCTCTGTAATAGAGTTCAGAATCATTTTGAGATGCACCCTCTATGAAATTACAGTCGTCTTTTTGATAGGAGGTGGGATAGAGTTTGTGCTTTAACGGAAAAGAGACTTCATTGGGTGAATGCTCAGTAGTTGTTGCAGATTTATCTTTAAAATCCACTGTGCCAGTGGATTTGTTCCTACTCCACCTTAGGTTGTCATCGTGGATTTCTTCATAATGTCCTGTAAAGTCAGATAATGGCTTTGTGGTAGAAACATGGGGTTGAGGGCTTACTGGAGTTTTAGGTGGCATCATGTCAGCGTGATCAGCGTCATCTGGGTAGTGCAAGTCCCTATTCAAATCCTCTTTCCTGAATCTTTTGTTTACCTCTGGATAACACGGAATTTCATCTTGAGTGGAAGTTGAGCACATGCTGTTTACCTCCACTTCTGAGGGTTTGTCAATTAGAGCAACTGCTTCATCACGAGAGTCAGTCATGGTATTTGGGGGTGATGCACAAATATTTAGGGACAGACATTCTTGGTTTGATTCGATCATTTGATCTTCACAAGAATCTTGACTTTGTGTTTCATTCTCATCAAAAAGCGTATCATCCTCATCAGTGACATTAAATGCATCTTGTTGGCCTAAATCTCTTTTGTCATCTTTTTCTAAATGACTAATATCTATTTTGGTGGGTTCAACGGTACTTGTTGGTTTTGCCTCATCCTGACAAACATCAAGATCCTCTTGTTGGACCACTATACTCTGCTCAGTAGTCTTGGTTTCACCCTCATAATGCATTACATCAGAAGTATCATTAGCAGCTAGGGTGTGTTTCTCTTGAACAGACATGAGCTGATCTTCACCTGGACATGAATCTTTTCTAAATTTTTCAAGGGCACCATCTACAAGGTTTGCCTCCTCTGGTGTCTGAGGTTGTTTTTCACTCTTCTGCATCTTCATGTCATGGTCATCATCGGTGAAGGCAGATGATTTCTCAGTGGAGCTGTTTTGTTCATAAACTTCCTTCTGTACCTTGGTTTCAGAATCCTCGTCACTGAATTCCATATCAACACTGTTTATATCATCCTCCAAAACCAAAGTAAAGTCATCTAGATATTCCTCCATTGCTGTGGACGTTTCATGTTCAGTATCATTGCCAACCAGGTCTGCCTCTTCCTTTGATTTAATCTCACTTTCTTGCATCATTTCCTCACCTTCTTCAACACTTCCATCTTCCATCATTGTCAGACATCTATCCCAGCTATCTTCATCTGATACAACTTTACTCTCTTCAGCTACAGATACACTCTCTTCCTCCACCAAAACGGATGCTCCAGTTTTAAGTTCAACAGTCTTGTCAACATTTTCATTAACCAGAGCTTCTGGGCACCCATCTTTGTTTCTTTCTTTCTTTGCTTCAAAAATCTCTTTACTCTCTGCACTGTCAGACACTTTCTCCTTTTGCAGTATTACATGCGGTACATGCCCAATTTCATTCTTTAAACCCAGATCAAAACTTTTCCTACCCAAAATCAGACGGTGTTGTTTTGAGAATGCTGATGGTTTTATGGGACCAAGAATTTGATGGAAAACACCAATTTTTTGAGGACCAGAAGTGGCCACGCTGGTGGATGCTTTATTATTTGTAGCATTTCTGACCTTTGGTTGAAGTATCCGAACACCTATTCTCATATTTGATGCTTGCTCACACAACTGGTTGTATGCACTGTTTTTTTCCAAGTGCTGTGAATATGAGCAGTCAGTGGTGACATCATTTTCATAATCAGTGTCATTATCATTGTCAGGCACTGAACTTTCCACTGGTACATCTGCAAGAGTTCTATAATTCTGTAACAGAGAAATGAAAATATGTAACAAAAAAAATCAGTATTTAAATCACACACACTGTACAAGAAGTAAATATATAACTGATTTATATATAAACATACAGTATTTTCACAAAAAAAGTTAAGCCAGTTATTTATTTCTTGTGTGTACGTAGGAAATATCAGTTTACATTTCCAAGCATTCCTTTTGCCATTAACAGCCAGTATTCTCCACACAAAGATCTGATCTCACCATCATTCAGTCGGTCTGGGATTACATGAAAAAGAAAAAGAAAAAACTGTGACAGACTAAATCCAGAAGAACTGTGCCAACGTCTCCAAGACACTTGAAGAAACCTTCCTGCAAAGCTACCTGAAAAACTATGTGCAAGTGTACCTAGGTCCTAGGATAAAAGGCTGTTTTAAACGCAAAGGGTGCTAACATCAAATGTTGATTAGATTTAGTTAATAGAAGTTAATTGATAAATTAAATCTATTTATGAAATTATTTTTGAAAGCATCCACACTTTACAGCATTTTAGTCTTTCTCGGTTTTTTTCTGTTTCTTCATGTAATCCCAGACAAAATCGATGATGGCACTGGCTGTTTTCAGACTCCTTTTGCATGTAAAACCGCACTGGATTATTACAATTAATGGCAAAAGGAATGTTTGGAAATGTTAACTGATATTTCCTACTGACACACTACAGCAAAATATAGAAATTACTGGCTGAATTTTTTTTTTTGCTGAAAACACCAATGGCCTAAGACTTTGCACAGTACTGTATGTATAGAGATGACAAATAACTAAAGACTAAAAGATAACAAACTGTTAACTCAGAAAAATGAATTTTCATTCATTAAACATAAAAAAAAAGTATTAAAAAATATGAATTTGTTATAAAAATCATGAGTTTGTTGTGATCAGAACAACTTTAAAGTCTGGTAGAGTACAGTGGTGCTTGAAAGTCTGTGAACCCATTAGAATTTTCTATATTTCTGCATAAAGATCACCCAAAATATCATCAGATTTTTATGCAAGTCCTGAAAGTTGACAAAGACAACGCAATCAAACAAATGAGGCAAAAATATATACTTTGTCATTTATTTATTCAAGAAAATTATCTAATATTACATATCTGTGAGTGGCAAAAGTGTGTGAATCTGTAGGATTAGCAGGTAATTTTAAGGTGAAATTAGAGTCCATCTGTTCAGAGGTATTTTCAGTCAGTGCGTGCCCTGTTTTATTTAAAGAACAGGGATCTATCAAAGTCTTATCATGTTTGTGGAAGTAAATCATGGCACTTACAAAGGAAATCTCTGAGGTCCTCAGAAAAAGAGCTGTTGTTGGTCATTAGGCTGGAAAAGTTTACAAAACAATCTCTAAAGAGTTTGGACACCACAAATCCAGTCAGACAGATTGTGTACAAATGAAGAAAATTCAAGACCATTGTAACCATCCCCATGAGTGGTCGACTAAGAAACATCACTCCAAAAGCAAGATGTGTAGTAGTACGTGAGGTTGCAAAGGACCCCAGGGTAACGTCTAAGTAACTAAAGGCCTTTCTCACATTGTTTAATGTTCATGAGTCCACCATCAGGAGAACATTGAACAACCATGGTGTGCATCGCAGAGTTGCAAGGAGAAAGCCACTGCTCTCCAAAAAGAACATTGCTGGTCATCTGCAGTTTGCTAAAGATCATGTGGACAAGCCAGAGGGCTATTGGAGAAATGTTTTGTGGACAGATGAGACCAAAATATAACTTTTTGGTTTAAATGAGAAGCGTTATGTTTGAAGAAAGGAAAATAATTCAAGCATAAGAATCTTATCCCATCTGTGAAACATGGTGGTGGTAGAAGCATGTCCTGTTTTGCTGCAAGACTGCTTGCCATCATTGATGGAACAATGAATTCTGAATTATACCAGCAAATTCTATAAGAAAATCTCAGGACATTTGTCCAAGAACTGAGTCTCAATAGAAAGTGAGTCATGCATTAAGACAATGACCGCAAGCACAACTGTTCTACCAAAGAATGGTTAAAAAAGACCAAAGTTAATGTTTTGGAATGGCCGAGACAAAGTCCGGACCTTATTCCAACTGAAATGTTGTGGAAGGACCTGAATCAAGCAGTTCATAGGAGGAAACCCACCATCATAGAGTTGAAGCGGTTCTGTACTAAGGAATAGGCAAAAATTCCAACAAGTTGTTGGGCAGGACTGATCAGCAGTTACAAAAAAACCATTTAGCTGCATTTACTGCTGCAAAAGGGGGTCAGACCAGATACTGAAAGCAAAGATTTACATACTTTTGCCACTCACAGTTATGTAAAGGCCTTTTCACACTGAACGCGGAAACGTGTGTCGTTTTTTTCCCCGTCGCTCCGTGACAAAACAGGCCGTTCAATTAGATTTGAGCTAAGATCACGTGCCCGGAGCAGCTGCTGTTGCACTAAAAGCAACAGGCGCTGTTTCGAAAACCAGTGTAAACAAACACAGAAGAAGAGTATTCTGAGAGTGTTATGAGTCAGAGCGCGTTCACTCAAGAGCTGTCAATCATGGGATAATATCTCCTGACATAATGTATGAAAAATGAGAGAAACATTTTTCTATACATGAAATATGAAAGCAAATACACATATGATTATGACGATATATTTTCTGTATGTGTTTTATGCAGCTCATGATATTTTTATAACAATAAAGGATGTTTATGACAAATGAGAAGCAGGTGTCGCGTTCAATCCTTTATAAAACATACAAAGAGTGCATGTCTGCCTATTATAGAATTAAAATCCACTTTAGATCTCAATCAGAAGTTAATACAAGTACTCTGTGATGGTTTAAAGTGGGTTTTAAGCAAAAACAAATAATCACATACATTTTCAAATGTAGCGTGATGCTAATTATACCTCTATTTATATTTTAAGATGTATTCTTGTAGGCATTATAGATAGTTTGTGTTTATGGCGTAGAACCAAACTTTATTTATCTTAATTTAATGCTGTATATTGAGCAGCGGACCATATACGAGATACATTACATATCTAAGGAAAAATGCATTGCTGGTCGGCGCCACCTAGCATGCAGGCATGAATTAGCAGAAGGTGATCAATCGGTGATAACAAATTACTGATTTATGTTGTCATAGAATATTTTAAAATTCTATAAAAATATAAAATATCTCATCAAGGAAAAATATAAATGACATCACCTAAATACAGTACAATTTTAATGGTGTAAGATACTGTATAATACATTACCATCAATGCTGTAACTTTCGGACTGGAGGAGAGACTTGTCCCAGAAGGTGAACGCCTTGGTGCCGTTTCATGCTTATGAGATGACATTTCACCAGGCTGTGATGCAGTGTCTTTTCTTATGCTCTGATTTGAGGCTGAATGAAGATTTTCAGGCTCATCATTTTTCACAGAAAGATCCAAAACCTCTGATGAAACTTGCACAGGCTTGGCCGAGTCCGCTTTCTGGCTCAAATCAACATTGAGCAATGACACAGCGTTCTGAATAGCGTTTATGTCCAAATGAACTATTTCAACGTTCTTCTCCTTTGGAAGTGCAGTACAATTTTCAAGGTGAAATAACCTGGACGTGGGCTTACTATAGAAAAGACCAATCCACATGTGAAAAATGAGATGGACATCCTCATAGGTATCTTCAATGTTGAAGTTCCATTTCCTGTCAATATTAGAAAAGAGAAAAAGAAATTCAGAGCCTTTTTGGAATGTCTATTTATGGGTTATGATAACTCAAAGAATTACCACAAAAACTGTTAAATGGTGTTAAACTCACATTCTCTCCACAAAAACTGTTACAGAAGGTGCAAACCGCATCTTTGGCATATTTTAAGCATGTGGCATTTTTGTATCTTGCAAACTCAAGACATTTGGTGTTCTGTAAAATTCTACATTGGTGTTGCAAATTCCACAGATATGTCACCACCTGGATAAAAATGTTATCTGGCTAAATTAGAGAAATTGTAATTGTAAAGACTTGTGATAGTCTTGATAGAATCAGAATAATGTTAACAATATGTTGAGAACTACAAACCAATCAGTAATTGTTTGCATCATGTAACATTTAATTAAAAAATAGAAATATTTATGGAAAATAAAACAAATGAATAGTCTAAAAATAATTTTTTTAGTGGGATGGATGAAAATATTGGAAAGGCAAGTTAAAAAAAATGGAAATGGCGTGACTGAACCAGCAGATGAAAAAACAAATCCTTATTTTTGGGTGAACTATTCCTTTATATTGTCCCTATACTGTCACTAATCAGACAAATAGCAACTAAAAGCCATAATATTTTGATATTTGTCTTGTGCGGATAGCTTGTTGGCCACAAATCAACATAAAAACAATATTAAATATTCACTTCAATAATCATAATTAAACCATAACCGAAATTTAGGGGCAACAAGCAGTACTTACCCATGAAGTGCTCGTGTGACAGTTTTATCTTTACTGTCATTGGTGAACTTGCTGTCAAATTTAAAATCATATGGGTCTTTCCAAATCCTCGTCACTTGAATCATTCCCTCCTTTTCGATTATGCTTCTGTTGTGTAAAATTCTTGATCTCCGCGGTTTCGTCTTGAGGATCTCCGACAATGGCTTATTTGGAGAAATCAAATGCTTCCATTCTGCTTTACCCCCTTCCTCTTGATGACATGAGGCCACAGCATCTTTGGGTAGGTTCAGATGAAGCCCAGTTTTCAATGACAGAGGCGATTCTACACTTCCAGATGGAAAAGAAACCTTGAGAGATGGACCTGAGAAACCTGACAGCGGAGAGGTGGGCTGTGAGTAAGAATGTTCTTTTGATATTTCCAAAATCAGTTCCCCAGTCACTAAAAGACCTTCTGGGAAAGGAGACCTGGGGGGTAATTTAAATCTGGCAGATGGATAACGAAGAAGTGCATGAAGGACCGACTCCGGGGAGCCGCTAGCCTTCACTCCATCAAGGGCCTCCTGGTCAGCTTTAGCTTCTAAGTTTTTTAATATTTTATCGTTACTCGCACCAAGAGCCAAGTCAGCCAGTAAACTCAAAGCATCTGAGGGCAGAGATGCACCCATGCTCAGTCTCTCTGCACTGGCTTTGCCATCAGTGCTAATTCTTCTCCTTCCCACCCTATCCCCAATAAGCGAAGATATGAGCTGCGGGTCAGTGTGTTTAGCTATTTCAAAAGGTGCTGATGTGTCAAAATTGAGGGACCCTGTAAGAAATAGACAAAAACAAAGACAACGCATAAAATAGCAGTAGACGCAGTGCATAATCAAGCAGACATGCAAAAGAAGAAGAGGAAGTAGAGTAAGACAGTGACCTTAAGAAGCAGAAGAACATGCACACGGAAGATGGAGACAGATGGAGAGGGAAAACGTGGGGCCAATTTTAATACACCAGCATAATCATGCCTCAATATCAAGCCAGTCTAATTTACTAAAGAGAATGAAATGTAATCACAAAGGAGGTTTGAGGTTTGAAACTGGTTGCAAATATACACAACACAACACTTTCCCACTCTTGGTATGTGAACATTTGTTTAATGACAGAATGTGTAAACTAATCACTTTCTTACCATTTTCTTTTGATGCCTTGTGAATAAGACCTCTCCAAGACACAGGTTGTTTTGTCAACTCCACACCTTTCATTGGCGTATGCTGTGCCTCATCATTTATGGGTTGCGATCCTTTGTCTGTCAGCTCATTTTGGGCAGTATCACACTTCAGATCCACGATGGCGCCCAGTTTTCCTTTTTTTGACTCTGGCCCTGCGTTATCTGGCTCAGATTTTGCATTGTCACCAGGGGAAGGAGATTTCACCCTCTTTCCCCTTCTGAGCACCGTCTTCAATTTGCTTATAGATATTGCACTGTACACATCATGTTTTGCTTTCTTTTTGATTTTGTCAGGAGAGGATACTTTTGGGTCCGGGGGCATGGATTGGTCAGAAACTCCGGGAACACTGGAAGTTGCATCTGCTTGAACAGCAACAGGATGATCCTTGTTATTTTGTTGGACACCTACAGCCACGTTTGATGCAGCATTCATGGACTTTTCTGGACATACATCCTGACTTTTGTCACTTTCTGATGGATGGGTTGTGTGAAGTTTTCTCAATATCCTTAATGCTGACAAGAGAGCACTTGGCATGTCTTTAGAAGTGCTGTCCGAGTCTTCGTCGTCATTGACCAGTGGATCTTTAGAGGGCAATTCTTCCTTACCCTTCAAGGGAGATTCTCCCTTACTTTCCACTATTTCATTGGATTTGTTCTCCTCAGGAGAAATCGTTTCTGCATTTGTGTCAATGCTCATCTCAACATGTGTTTTCTCCTTTTGTGCAGATTCTACGTCAACATCTGAACCATGTGGGACAAAGACTCTACCACAGTTTGTGATTATGGTCTTTAGGCCATATCGTTCCCTCAAGTTAAATCCCTCCATCTTCCTCTTGGGTGTGCTAGACAAACTTTGTTTTGTTACATTGTGCTGTATATTCACTATAGTCTCCTCATCATTCTTTACATCATCTGATCTCAAAGACCGTTTCAGATTGGCATCTGTATTCCACAATCTTTTACGCCTTGGATGTGACCGCCAATCTCTTTTTGAGGGACTTATACTTTGATCATCAATAGTTTCAGTTGTCACACTTAATAAAGGGTCTTGTGCTTGTCTGGCTTTACTCAGATTTCGATTCACACCCCTTTGCCTGCGTCCCTTGCCCCTACGAGTTGAATGGGGTTTTTGATTGAGGTCATCAGCATGCACGGTTTCAGTCTTAATCTGGTCTTTCGGTAAAGCAATGTTTTTTTGAAGTTTTTTTTTATTTTGCATGGTTTTCCAATGAGTTCTACGCTTCCTACTTCTACGCCTTGAAAAGGACCTCCGATTTACTTTCTTATCAGGATCAGGCATTGTTTTCTCAGGATGTGTATTATCCTCCATCCCCCCAGCAGCACCTTCTTCTGTTGATTTGATTAATGGTGTACTGCTAGTTTGGATGGGAGTCTCTTTTGTAGATACACCGACTCCATTAGCATCTCCTTTAGTACTACCTTGAGATGTTTTCTCAACATCATTCTCAATACTTACACAATTCTCTGTAGGGACATCACCCAATTTGGGTGACCCTGTGGAAGTTGGATATTCCAACACACTGTCAGCTACTGTAACTACAGCTGTTCTCAGCTTTCCAAGCCCCTCTGGCAAAGCAGGTTGAGGCTGCTCTGTGGACAAATGCTTTTGCTCATCTTTTTGTCTATTAACGGTTTCAGCTATTCTGTCAGAGGCATCACTGATGGCCTCGGATTGCTTTGTCACCTCCATTTCAATATGGCCATAAGTCTCTGGCACCTCCTCCGGTGATGATATACAGTAATAGACATCATCATCGTGATCATCACCACGCTGTTGTCGACCAGCAGTGAGTAACTCCAATGCCCTCCCTACTGGAATAGTAAAGCCACATGGCTCATCAAAATAGGATTTTAATTGAGTGCCAGCCTCCTGTGACCATTTAGGCGATATTAGGGTAAAACCACCAGGCACATCATATTGATCTGGAAACATACTGGCTTCCCTGGTGGGAACATCCAATAGCCCTGGGTGAAAAAGAGTGCCATAGTCTTGCAAATGCTTCTCTAAAGACACCTGAGAGCGCCCCTGCTGGTTTGGAGGACATTTTTCCATCTCTGCTTCTGCATAGTTGAGCGCTGGGATTACTTGCATTATTTCAATTGACACCTTAGTATTTTGCAGGTCAGACTTGGCATCTAAACATAAAACCATACAAAAGATATGTTCATAAGATGTGAAAGACTTGCAAATAAAAGCTGCATATGGTACACAGATGTAAAAATCTAATAAATCAAAGTATTCTCCTTGTTACCTCTTGGCACAGTTCTTGAGTCTGGGAAAATAAACATGCCTTGAAGTGCTGCTGCCTTACCCGACTTTGCATCTAGAAATAAAGGAAAGTAAAATATTTTTTACAATTATTAAAAAATTTCAAATTACATTTACAAATGTTCACAAAATCTCTCTCTCTCTCTCTCTCTCTCTCTCTCTATATATATATATATATTTTTTTTTTTTCTTCTTCTAATAATCAGATATAAACAAATATACATTTAGGATTTTTGGTAATATACTGTAGTTCTTCAGGAATTGACACAGACTGACAGCATTAATAAAAGCATATATCACTAATTAACAACCCCGGAGCTCATGGTGGGTTTGTTTTTTTAAAGGTTTATACATTGGTTTTAAAAATCAATTATTCTCTTAAGAAAATTAGTGGGATTGGAGTCTGTTGGGCAACATCTTACCTTCATAAGAGAAGAGGTGCGTAGAGTGTAACAGTATAAGAAACCCAGAATCTTCCAGAGGGATAACAAGAGCCTGTTGAATGGAAAAAATCATAAGAAAAGATTTGTTCAGAGATTTGTCCAATTATTAAAAATATTTCCCTCTTCTCCATATTTACCATGTCTTTTTCCTTCAGCTCTTGGGATATCTGAGCCAGGTCATTTTTCGCCTTAGAGGACACAACGTCATACAAGTTGAAACATCTGCCATCTATGCAAACTGTGTGGAGATGGAGGGAAATAAATTACAAGACGTCGACCAAGCACTCATTTACAGTTTTAGCACCAATATGGGCGCCCCTGTCAATTACCAAAATAAAATGTTAAACACACCTTCACCCACAATGCAAGTTTCAAAGATTTCGCGTGGCAAGGTCCTCTTCAGCTCAGACACACAAATTGCATGGTCAATTTCAACTGTCTTTGGGCTGAAAATACAGTTTGCATTTCAGTCCTATAGCGTATAAGTACATAGTATAGTATATCTGAATCTACCCTTGATTCTTGGGCAGCTTTTTGGTGCATTACCAAATATGGTTTATACATGTCATTAAATAAAACATACAGTTTGGCTGGGAACCAGGCTCCGCTCGAAGACTGAAGACCAACATCATAGACAGTAGATTCAATCTTGAACTGGCCAATCCATGGTTGGTAATGAAACACTACAATACAAGATTTAGCTTAAAACACCATGTTGATAATTACATACTCTCAAAGGAACATTTAAAATACACTGAATATTATGCAAAAGAAGTGCAAAACCCTTTACAATAAATGAAAGAATGGCAATGCACAAGATTGTGAATGAAACAATCTTGGCTAATTGCCCTATTTGCAATTTCACCACAAAAACAGAAAAGAACATGCAAAATAATCTAATTCTTACCTGTTTTGTCTTGGCTTTAAAAGAAACAGTGAAAAAAAAAACTTTAGTTGTCAAAAATCACCATTATTACATGTAAAACTTATTTCTCTTAATAAGATAGAAAGAGTGAATTGCGAAACCTTTTTTGCTCCAAATCTGGCATGGTGCTCATCTTCCCAAATGAGAATACCACAATGGCAAACGGACAAGCATGTCTTGGACATGTTTCTATTTCATTGCTTCCATCACGGCGTTCATACATATAGTACTGCAAGACAAACCAACCTTGTTAGATTTACAGTTTGAAACTAAGGAAGGAAGGAAGGAAACTGTTTTTGAGAGCTTTATCACCTGTGTTCGCTCATAGGCCAAGAAAGAACTAGTAGTTGAAGACACAGCACCAAACTGATCTGATATGTGGCAGTCGTAGCCAGCTGTCGGAGGAGTGAAATTCTGGGTGTAGTTGTCTGTAACCTCTTTCACTCTCCCCTGATGTTTAAATATATAAGAAAACATGTTTGCATGTGGTGCATTAGGAAAAATCAGCACAAAGTAACAGAATGTGGGTGGAAGAATTAAAATTTCCCACCAACTTGCATACCTTGGTCAGCTTCAAAAGGACTATGTAGCCTGTCTTGCCATCGTACCAGCGCTTCAGGTCAAGGCAGTCCGAGTATTTTGAGATATAGACACCTAATTTATACCAGAAATATAATGAGATAATAATCACCTCAACAATACTAGAAAACAACTACACAACAGTGCAACAGAACCCTGTGCAATATTTCAATATAGCATTTCACATAAATGTTCTCCAGAAAAGCTGTATTCAACCCACATTTCAGAAATTCACAAGTCAAAACAGATCAGGTCCAGAGAGCTTTGATGGTGTTCATACACCACAAGATCACGACTGTGAAAAATGAGCCCTCAAAGAAGTCTTTATGTTACAAAAACGTAATGTCTGAACATAAAAGCAAACAACACGTGCTTCAGTGGAAGGTGTAACTCTGTAAAACTGTTTTTCATACCCAATACAGGCAATAAACAGACTGTCAAAAACCAGAAAAACGCGTTCTTCAGCATTTTTGTGGATGAGAAAAAAGGTGCACAAAGAGTTCTCAGGAAGGTCTGTTTGCCTTGACATGTCAAGCTGCAGCAAACAAGTTTAATCTTTAGTACTGGTAATTATTAAGCCAGCAAGTCCTAGTCTTGCATAGACAGGCTTTCAATAGAAAACATAAAATCTGGTCCAGATTGCAGTCAATAATAATTCATATTATGTACTGTAATTTAGAAAACAAAGTAGAATATACAGTTCTACTAACTAATAGCTAGTTAACTTGCTACATAAATGGCTCAAGCAAAAATAGTATTTTTCAAAGATTTATTCAAACTACTTTAGGAAAACTACAGCAATTCCAGCAAAGACTTCCTTAAAGGGTTACTCCACCCCAAAATGAAAATTTTGTCATTAATCACTTACCACCATGTCGTTCCAAACCCGTAAAAGCTTCGTTCATCTTCGGAACACAATTTAAGATATTTTGGATGAAAACCGGGAGGCTTGTGACTGCCGGTTTTCATCCAAAATATCTTAAATTGTGTTGCGAAGACGAACAAAGCTTTTACAGTTTTGAAACGACATGGGGGTAAGTGATTAATGACAAAATTTTCATTTTGGGGTGGAGTAACCCTTTAACAAACAGTATCTTTTCCAGGTTGTTTGACAAAAACGTGTACGCCCTTACACCCAGTTCTTGACGTTTTGGTTTACATCAGATGGTCAGAGAATAAACTGTGGGTGTTGTCAGGGATATTTAGAACTGAGACTAAACAAACCTTGACAATATACCAACATTTCTAAATTTCACAAAATTCGTAAAAAAAAAAAAAATAATAATAATAATAAAAACACATCACAAGAGTATTCTTAGCCATTTTCAGACTTTGAAATATAAACTGTCTTTTATCCTCCTACTGATTACTCACTGGGTCTGAAAATATTCCTGCATATAAGGACATTGATATGATAGCAACTTACAGTCAATATTACATGGTTTACTCTTATTTGGTTGTGCAATCTTTGTAGAGACTGTTTGCTTTTACACTCACAAAGGTATGTGTATATCAAGTCTTTCCCCTCACTGGAAACAGAAGTGGCTCAAAGCACATAAAATAAGCATGACTTACCAGCTACATAAAACTTAAAAATAGTAATGAAATGAAATATTTAAACCTATTATCATCTGAAGACCTGAAATAATTTGTATAAAAATGTGCTGAATTTGACCATAGGGTCAAACAAATGGCCTATTTGTCTTCACAAACCTGCTTTGAAGGGATAGTTCACCCAGAAATGAAAATTCTGTCATTAATTACTCACCCGTAATTCCAAGACCTGCATTCATCTTCGGAACACAAATTAAGATATTTGTGATGAAATCCGAGAGCTTTCTGACTCTCCATAGACAGCAAGGGTACTACCACGGGCAAGGCACAGAAACGCAGTAAGGACATCGGTAAAACAGTCCATGTGACATCAGTCATTCAATCATAATTTTACAAAGCTACGAGAATACTTTTTGTGCGCAAAGAAAACAAAAATAACCAATTTATTCAACAATTCTTCTCCTCTGCGTCACCCTGGCACCATTTTGGAGAGTACCACGATGCAGGCGCGGGCTGTTTACGTGCAGGAATGCACCACCATCGGTTGAACCACTGATGTCACATGGACTGTTTTACTGATGTCCTTACCTTACTGCGTTTCTGTGCCTTGACTGTGGTAGCTCCCTTGCAGGGTCAGAAAGCTCTCTGATTTCTTTAAAAATATATATTTTATTTGTGTTCCGAAGATGAACGAAGGTCTTACGGGTTTTGAACGACATGAGGGTGATTAATTAATGACAGAATTTTTTGGGTGAACTATCCATTTAAGTAAAGTATTTTGTTTTTTCATTGCAAGACTAGTAGTAGTAGTAGTGTTGCTGCATGACCCATATTCAGATTTTGTTGTCCACCAAACACCCAGACATTCCTCTTAAATCTACTTGTCTGATACAAAATTTATGACAAACCACTTAATAATTATCTGCTCATCCTCAAGCCATGATACTCCCACCATGTGACTGATGATATGAGATTTTTTTGCTTGAAATGGGTCTCATTTCAGTCTCATTTTAGATACAGAAATACTTCTGTATCTAGGTTATTTGAGCTCATACAGTAGTGAGAAGACCAGCGTAAAGGCAAACCTTCACTTTCTCTTTCTATAGATTAACTGTATCTCTTACGTAGCATACTTTCACTTTTCCTTTTCATAAGTAGGAGAACCTATGATGAAATATGCAGTTCTCCTGACCAACCCTGTGAACACTATTACTATTAAAAGCCATTATTTTAGTAATCTGTTATATGCTATTTTTGTTAGTATATGCCATTTATTTACATGGTGTGAGGCAGTTATTCAGTTGCAATACAACAAAGTTGCAATTCACTTACAACACTATATATAAAAAGAAACAAAGCTGGGATTTATCGACAATTCACTGAATTGTGGCAATGGAAATCATGCCAGTAACCGTTGCTGACAATAGCACATTCACATCAAGTCCTGTCAGACAAGTATGAAGGCTTCCTCCTCTTGGCTGATCTTGCTGCAGTCACATGTGAAATATTATCTTGTGCATGCAAGTAAACACATCAGGCTGTTATACTGAAACGACCACCAAATAATGCAATGGCTATCTTTCTTTACCTTTCGAGGAGTCTCCAAGAGTAGTGCATTTTGCTTGTCCAACCAACAAGCCTGTTTTGCCAATTTTCCTTGCCTGTGAGAAAACAGATGTTGCAGTAATAGGTTTGAAGTTTCAGAAAGATTTTGAAATGAGGTCGATTCAATAAGCTCCATTAGTGTTGTATTTCTGTACCCTGTTTGCATCATCAAGCAACAGGAAGCCAAATGACTCTTCAAGTTCCTGTTCAGAATATCCTTTTTCACATTTCTCGGAACGAAAGGCAGCATACTGTTGGAAGAATACATTTATTATAACATGACGCAAATCTCACTAAATCACTCAAAACTAAGTGCAGAATGGGGAACATTTAGATAAACCTTACCCGCTTTTGTAAAGCGCCATTGTTGATCAAATGGGCAGAGTTGTATGTGAAACATTCTTTTGATTCCTCATACAAATAGTTGTTATGAAGTGGGGCTAGAATACTCTCATTAAAGGTTACTGAGCCTGGATGCACAGGCTCCAGAAGACCTGGTAAAACAGGACACATGTTTGAGTTATACTAACTGCTTCACAATCTTCCAAAACATTCCTTCATTCCAATAACAAACTAAATGGACAGTTTTCTAGGTCACATTCTGTCGCTCTGGAATTGTAACCAGAGAGCATGTTGTAAAAGTCATCTCAAGGACATTTTGAGATAAACGCTCGGTAAAAGCAATAAGTCTGGTAGAGAGTCATTTTGTGAACAACTTCGTCTGTAAAAACCAACAGTTTCATGAACTGGCTAAACAACTTTAAAACAAACAAAACAGTATTCGGCATTAAAGAAAGAACAATTGTGCAATTCTTATGCTGAAAAAAACCCACGTAGTTCATTAAGTACAGTACAACTGCGCAAGACTCCTGTTTCCGCACTAATCTTCCTAATGTAGAATACAACAACTAGAATGTCACATATTAAATAACTCTGTTCGTTATTAACTGATGCAACTATACAGAAATATGAAATGCAGACACATTCATTCAGCACATGGTGGATTTGCAGACTCTTCAGCACATGGTGGATTTCCAACTTCTAACTTTTCTAGATAGAAAATCTATTAGCTGGTCATACCAGTTAAATGTGGTCAAGCTGGTTTTTGAAACATCTGTCAACCATGCTAGAACCAGCTAATGTTCATCTTAGATCATCTTAGATCAGCTAAAAAACAGTTACCACATTTATAATATAATAATAATAATAATAATAAACAAAAATTGATATTGCAATATGTCAATTGTGACTCAATCTTAAAATCTCAACATTTATACCCTTATGAAAATGAACCATGGTGTTATTATACTAAAAGTGTAGTACCCGTTTTTTTTTTTTTTGGCATATCGATCATTATTTGTATAACCAGTTTTACTACAAATACCATGGTTAAATTATGGTTAGTGTAGCAAATCCATGGTTAAGTTGTGGTTACCATGGTTTAACTATAGTAACCATGTTTTTTAGTTTTATTTGTAGTAAAACCATGGTTAATTTTCATAAAGGTATACATAATAGGCTATATAACATGGAATGAGGTTCATATAACATAACGGTAAATACATCAACATTACTGACCATACTGGCCATAATTTACATTTAGAAATCTCAAAACATTGAGAATAAAGACCAAAATAAGAAGACTTTTCATATTAGAGATCATGCAGAAAATCTAAAAAACACTAACTGAACCAAGTACAAGAGAGGACACTGTACAGTGGTGAACTGAAAAACGTGATTGTAATCAACCCTTATTCAAATGAATCCAAAAGCTTGGAGCAAAGGTAAAACTATCACGTGTAGTTTTACCAAGCCCATGCTGACTCCACTGCAGAATTGGTTTAGAGTTAAGAGCAGCCAACCAAACCAGTAAGTTATTCGTGTCTTCTTTCAACCAAAGTAGGATAGTCGTTTAAAATTGTTCACAAAGCTGCAATACTGTGACTATATTGAAATACCTATGACTGAAACTCACAAATTATTAACCAGCTTCGTTAGCTGTAAACACAAACAAAATTACCACAAAAAATGTGTGTGGATTGGATTTCTGAATACACAGAAATGTATAAATACACGCATAGATATTTCAGCACAAAACGGATTATACAAACGCTATTGACGTCAAAACAGAAACTAAACGTGTCCACGAGGCCACTAAACCCAGTCACCTTCTGTTGATCGAGTAGTCACATTCTCCATGAAGACGAGGCATAGATCCCAGGTTTTCGCTTTGCACACGATATATTAGATATTTCTAATCCTCGACGGCTCACGACATTCCACTTAAACGAATAAAAAGATACTGCCTTTTCCGTAAAACAGTCATGAAATGTTTATTTAAAGCTGTAAGGACAAATACAATTCTCGACGACTGGTCTCTGAAGCTGAACTGCGTTTTGAAGGACTAGAATTGTGCTGTGTGACTGTGTGTTGCAACCAGGAAGCGAATCCACATAAAGACAGTAAACGTTGGGCTGTGGAAACGAACGGCTGCCAGCGAATCGGTCTGAAGGACTGTTTTTAACGGAGTTCGAATTCTGACTGGGATTCCAATTCATTCGACAGCGCGTGCCGTCTGCTCGAGGCACGCCGCGGTATCTAGAAGAGAGTAGCTCGCGCGAGCAAAAGCGAAACGAAAAAGAAACAGAAAGTCAGACGTTCGCGTCCATCTTGCGTCCTGCATTCAGTTCCGTTTGGCGTCGCTAGTAGTCGCAGTCCAGGCATATTGAAACCACGCCGTTCGTAGCAAATTATACTCTGATTTATCCCTGAATGTCGATTCAGTAATTAAAAGGGAAGTTGTATATGGTTATTTATCGACAACGAGTAGACACCAGTAGCATGAATTTAACAAATATCCGTAGTTGCTCTGAAAAAGCCTCATTTACTCTTCCGGCCTCTAGGTGGAGCTATTCAGTTTTCTGCATTCCTGAACTCCACCACGCCTAAAAGAACATTCAGTCCTGGACGAAATGTTCACTGACTGAGTGAATTAGAGCAAAACAAAGCTGATTTTGTCCTGCTGTGCCTGCCGATCTTTGGTCGGGCAAAGCCAAGGTGTAATGCATATAGAAAATATTTAAGCCTACTTTTGAAGGAATGCAGACAATACAGTTTAAACATCTTACTTGAAATATTAAAGGGGTCATATGATGCTTTTTTAAAGATCATTATTTTGTGTATTTGGCTGGGAAAAAGAGAGGAGGAAATTTTAAAGTTTTGGCTGGACAGTGATAAAGAAAGCAACAGAACTTAAAGTTAATCAGTGAAATGTTACTCCAACTGTACTTACATTGTTAGAACAGAAAAATAAGGGTAAGGAATGTAATTTGTATAATGTGCAGACATATATTAATGAGTACTACAGCTATGTTCAGATCTACACAGATGCATCAAAGAGTTTGGATAATAAGATAGGAGTAGTGTTTACTGTTCCAGAATTTCATTTATCAGTAAGGAAAAGGATCAGTGATGAGTTATCAGTTTATACAGGGGAAATGATTGCACTATTATTAGCAATACAGTGGATAGAAGAGATAAGACCTTTGAAATCAATTATTTGTTCAGATTCATGTTCATCATTGGCTAGTTTACAGTACAGTCACTCGGAAAGTAGACCAGACATTTTAATGGAAATAATGCAAACGTTATATAGAATTCAAATGATGGGGAGTACAGTGGTATTTGTATGGGTGCCGGCGCATATTGGTGTCCAAGGAAATGAAACTGCAGATAAAGAAGCAAAAGAAGCAGTTAAAAACAACGACATTAACTTAATTGTTAATCTAAGTAAGAATGAAATCAAGAGTATTATTAAGAAAAGACTGAAGTAAAGGTGGCAAAAACAATGGGATAAGGAGAAAAAAGGTCGGTGGTTTTACAGAATTCAAAGGAAAGTGGGAGAGATGAGAAGTGCAGGGAAAAACAGGAGAGATGAGATAGTAATATCAAGGATGAGATTTGGACACAAGATTAAATAGTACACTTTATAAAATGGGTAAACATGAAACGGGAAGGTGTGGATTTTGTGGACAAGAATTAACAGTGGAACATGTTATACTGTACTATCAGAAATACGAGACTGAAAGAAGGATTCTAGTGCAAAATTTAGAAAAAATTAAAATGCAATTTACACCGAGATATATTTTACAAAATAACTCAAGGAATGAATGCTATAGTTTTATTTTTCAGTTCCTTAAAATAACTAATTTGTGGGAGAGAATTAAAAAAAAAAAAAAAGGGAAAAAAAAGAAATTTCTTGAATTGTTCAGTACCTTAAAATAACTAATTTGTGGTAGAGAATATAAAAAAAAACAAAAATAAAAAAAGGGGGGAAGGGAGTAAGTCATTTTGATCCACACTCCATACCAGTTGGTGGCGGTTTTTCAGCTAGCTTTGCAGGTAGGTAGGTCTCTTTAAGCATCTTGGAGACATTATTACTTGACTGAAGCAACTTTCCATACAACTTTCCATTTTTTTAGAACAATCATGTTAAAATTTAAGTATCAAATATGATAAAACAGGCTTTTAAGGAACATTCATTTGTACATCTCTCAATCACTGGATATGTTTGCCCTCAGAATGAAAACTAAAGAGGTCATAAAACTACGCATTTAAATATGATACATTAAGACATTATTCAGAGGTATAGAATGATAACTGATATTTATATGCATTTTATGTAAGTAGTCTGATATACTGTTTTATAAATCATATTGATTTACAGTACAAGCTATCAAAATTCGGCCATACTTCCTGGTCATATAAATATCAGCAACTGCACCAAATTGTATATTTTTGCTCATATTTTATAAAGTTCAATGAACTGTGTGTTCCTCAAACATGTAGTTCTCAATCTCTGGAAGAGCCTTTCCTTTTAGGATTTTCACTCTGTGGAAATAAAGATGAATACAACCCCAATTCCAGAGAAGTTGGGACGTTTTGAAAAATGCAAAAATCTGTGATTTGTTCATTCTCTTTTAAAAACTTTTATTTAATTGGCAAAAGTACAAAGAAAAGATTTCCAAAGTTTTCACTGATCAACATAAATGTATTTTGTAAATATTAACAAATATTGTTTTTGATGGCTGCAACACATTTAAAAAAAGTTGGGACAAGATTAAAAGTGAAAAGGATATAGAATATCCACGTTAAACTGTTTTGAAACAGTTCACAGTAAGCAGGTGAATTGGTAATATGTCAAGGTATCATGTTTGGGTATAAAAAGAGCATCTCAGTCTTTGCAAGCAAAGCCGGATCATGGCTCATCACTTTGTGCCAAATTTCACGAGAGACGTGTCAAACAAATCAAAAATCACATTTCGCAACGCAAAATTGCAAAGAATTTAGGTCTTTCAACAAGTACCATACATAATATTGTGAAAAGATTCAGGGAATCCAGAGAAATCACAGTACATGTAGGGCAAGGCAGGAAACCTCAGTTGAATGTGCTTGACCTTTGAGCCCTCAGATGGCATTGCATGAGAAACCATCATGCTGCAGTGTGAAATATAGCCACATGGGCTCAGGAGTACTTCAGAAAACTGCTGTCACTTAACACAGTCTGCTGCTGCATCAAGAAATGCAACTTGAATATCTGTTACTCTAGGAGAAAGCTATACATCAATTCTATGCAGCGATGCTGCCAGGTTCTCTGGGCCAGAACTCATCTCAGATAGTCAAAAAGACAGTGAAAATGTGTGCTGTACTCAGATGAGTCCACATTTCAACTTGTTTCCAGGAAAAATGGATTTTGAGTTCTCAGTCCCAAAGACCAAAGGGACCATCCAGACTTTCATTAGCGACAGAAGCAAAAGCAAATGTCTGTCATGGTATGGGGGTGCAGCAGAGCAAACAGCATGGGTGACTGGCATATGTGTGAAGGTACTATTGACATGGAGGCATATATTGGGATTGTATAGAGATATATACTGCCATCAAGATGATGTCTTTCATGGTAAGTCTATGGTTATTAGATCAAGACAATGCCAGCTCTTATTCTGCATGTGCTACAGCAGCGTGGTTTCGTAGCGACAGAGTGAATGTGTTAGACTGGCCTACCTGCAGTCCAGATCTGTCTCCAATTGAAAATGTATGACCAGTCATGAATCAACTTCATATATCTGTTACGGAAAGGATAGATATATGGAAAATGAGGTATTCGATTTTTATGTGCTCAAAAAACATGCAAACAAACATATGCAAAGTAAGATATTATGTTTTCATTACTGTGCAATGTATACATATCTTTTAGCATCACAAAAAAATTATTTTAGAGCATTTCATGTATTTTGCTTATTCTTCTGAATTTCACAGTGATAAACATGTTAAAGGTTATCTTACTCTCTCGCCAGAGAAGGCGATTTCAAGGTTGGAGACGGCTGCTATCTTTGCCAGAGCATGGCTGGCCTTTATTTTTCCTTTGTCAGTTCCCTCCAGGGCTAATGGTAGCAAAGCCTGCCCAGTCAACACGCGAGATCATGCGATGATCACAGTGACATCACACGATCCTCATACTGTGATCCTCACGGTGTGAGTAGTATATGAAATCATTGTGAGTTCACACGATCCTCATACTGTGATCCTCACGGGACATCATTGTGAGATCAAATTGTTGACTGGGTGTAGCACATAGTAGTGAAAATTTAAATTTCAAAAGATTTACTGAAGTATCTACTGGGAATGTGTTTGGTCTGTGGTTTTTTTAACCTTTCCTCCACCTTGAGCTACAATTGTGCCACGATCTTTAAAGGGGTCATATGATGCTGCTAAAAAGAACATTATTTTGTGCCAAGGCAAGAAACACTCTGGGTGGACAAAAATAGTAAGACTATTAACTTCAGCAGCATATTAGACAACAAATCATCAGCCCATATTAGATTTTAGAATGGTAGTTTTAGCATCAGGGTCTAGGGATTACAACACAGGATGTAATACCAAAATAAAAAATGACAATAAAAAAAAAAGCGTAATAAAATATATATTTTTAAGAAATCAGTCAATCAATAAATAGTCTTTTATTAACTGTGGTGTCTAAATGTCTCTTGAATTTCAATGGTTTCATTTGATGAAGTCAGTAATTCACAGTGCAAAACAAGCTGTGTTTGCAGCCTACCTTATCAGAATAGACTTTTGACCCATTTTTGAGTCTTACCTTGCTAGCATCTCTTTGGTCTGATCAGTCAGGATAGAATTATCTGCTTTGATCATGACAGCGAGAGCTGATGTGACTCCAGCTTTCAATAGCCTCTTTACTCGCCTTTCAATGAAGTCCTTCTTATCCTAAAGCACAAGAGAAATGTTTTAAAATGTATATATTAACTCGTCCAGCATAACATTTCAAGCAGTGTCCTGCAGTTTGACATCACAGACCTTATTTAAAACTAATTCAAACAACATTTCTAGTTCTTGTTGTATACTTAAGCATACATTTATTGAGAAACTACATGGAGTATTTGTAGTTTTAAAGATTGATTTGCCACATCACAGGATTCTGTGTATGTTACCTTCGGGTGCTGCTCAGGGACGTGTTGTTTGGAGAACTTGGCCAGCTGCACCATCTCAGGGATGATCTCTTTCTTGTCATAGCTGTTGGTGCAATTGACCAGGGTGCAGGCGACAGCATATAGGATGGTCTTATCTTTTGACTAGAAGAGAAAAATGTTGTATTGCCATTTGTACATTTATATGTAAATCTCTATTAAGTCATATGGATTGAAAAAATCTGCAGTTGATCAAGTTAATTCAGTCTTTTTATCTTTTAACACACACCTTGGCAAGTTCAAACATGGCTCTCATGGCTGCTTCATCCTCAACAAAGTCATCTTTTACATCAGCATCATTCGTAAGGTAAGCCAAACCTTCAACGGCCCATTTCCTTGTACGCACATCAAGTGTAGGGTTGCAGAGCCACCTGGAATAAACCAAATCTAGTTGAAATGCAATGCTGAATAGGAACTGTTGACAATGTAAATGAAGGTGGTCATATATGTTAATGTATTTGATTTTCTGACAGTAGTTTCAGTACATTGTCTTTTAGGGGGCGCTCAGAAAGTTTAAAAAGTGCTATAGTACCATTCAAAAGTTTAGAGGTTGGTATGATTTAAAAAAAAATGTTTTTGAAAGAAGTCTCTTATGCTCACCAAGGCTACATTTTTTCCATCCAGAAATGCAGTAAAAACAGTAATATTGTGAAATATTACTACAATTTAAAAGAACTATCTTATATTTGAATATATTTTGATGCATAGCTGCATTTTCAGCATCATTACTCCAGTCTTCAGTGTCACATCCTTCAAAAATCACTCGAATATGCTGATTTGCTGCTCGAGAAGCATTTCTTATTATTATCAATGTTGAAAACAACTGCATTTATTTGAAGTATAAATCTTTTGAAAATTACAAATGTCTTTACTGTTACTTTTCAGATCCATTTAATGCATCATTGCCGAATAAAAATCTTACTGACCCCAAACCTTTGAACACTAGTGCATGTTTGAACACAACTCATGCAATATTATATTAAAATATTATAGGAGTCCTACAAATAAAGAATAGCTGGCATTCACACTTTCTGCACTGCTTGGCCAGTTTCTCAGTGGAGCCCTCTTAAAATTGGCTCATGCTGTAATCATCTCCTCCAGCGGATCCCAGTTTACACAGACCCTGAGAAAAGAAATTGGATACATCATGTTACATATGCAAAAATATAACAACTGCTCTTGTTCAATAACTAATGAACACTACAACAAACACAGTTTGAATAGTGCATAAAGTGTCTGCTCACCACAAGGGCTCTGATCTTGATCTTCTCATTTTTAGTTTTCTTGTACATGTCCTTCAGCAGTGTTACTCCATTGCTGATGAAGGAGGCGGCTTTGCTGGTTTTGGTGGACGCATGAATGAGGGCCTCCACTGCTACCAACTGGTCCACTTCACGCTCGGATCCACACAGGGCCACCAATCATCTCCATAACGCCCTGACGACCCGCAAGGACGTTGCCCACATCGAAAGACCCCTGAAGAATGCCTGACATAGTATTGATAGCATGGATGTTTCTGTCCATGTCGTTGGGGTCAAACTTGCTCCTGTTAATGGTAACCAGCGACATTAAGCATCAACTCCACATGTATGTTTATATACAATCCTAATTTTGTAGTGAAAGCTGAACTTAAAGTATTCATCACAGATATCTCTGAAGTTATCTCTCTCAGAGTCACAGCGCATGTCATCGTAGAGCTTGTTGAGGAGAACACTAGCAATCAGCTGTGTGTTTTCTGTCAACGGCAACTGATCCGGAAGGTCTGGAACCTGACCGCAGACCTTCAGAATCTTCTTCAGACCTGTTTTTGAGACATTTCTTAATGTAACTTTTACATACATAATGTAAAAGTTACATTAAATTATGTCATTGCTGTCCTCCTAGCAGCACAAATCACGTGTTCACACTTAGAAATTTGCTTGTGAAATTTACACACAAACATTTCTATGAACAAATCTTTATTCACCAAAAAGTTTAATACGAAATTATATTCTAAATATACGAAATTTACCATTCATATGCAAAAAGCACATTCTCTGGATGTCCTTATAATCATGTTAAGATGACATTTATATTAGAACAAAGGCTATAAAAAAAAGGTTCTGCTTTGTGTGCGTTTTATGCAAATATTTATCCTCGGACACACGGTTGCTCAGTTAGAATACTCCAAATACATTAAAGCACATGCACATGCACAGCTTTCCACTGTTATTATGACAGTGATATATTTATGACACTATCATACTATAAGGATGAATAACATACCATGGTCAATGGTGAAAAGGCCTTTGGAGCTATCTGTGTTTTTCTTGTCTTTTCTTGGCACATTCTTGGTCAGGAGGTTCAGAGCCTGGTCTCGGCCGTGTCCAGACACCTTCTTGCTTGCGATCATTTCCAACAAGGCAAGCAGAATATCCTTCAAGTCCTTACTGGAGTCTGCCAGTCATTGGACAAGAACAGTTTGCAATTTTAACTCAATTGCACTCAATCGGGTCAAATTATGACAATCTTCAGTAATGTTGCTCTCTGAATTCAGATGTCTTCTCTTACCGAGTACAAGGGCCTCTTCTTTGCCGTAATTTCTCTTGTCTCCTCCAGAAAGGGAGTCATAGACACACTGGAACAGGTTTGCAGTGGCCAGAGCGATCTCTTCATTATCTACGGCCATGATGCTGCACAGCTTGCTAATTCCCACCGTGTGGATGATGGCAGTTGCCTTTAAAACCCAAACATACTATTAACACAAATATTTTAAACAAATGGTCACAAATACAGTGAAAAGAGGAAGTGCACCAAGACGACTGATGTTTTGTGGCCTTTATTTCTTATTAGCTTATTACTTTTATTGCATTCGTTTATGCAACTTGCAATAACATTTTAGTCTGTATTTTTGTTTTTTGCTATATATAATAGAGTATCTTAATATTATATTATAAATTTATTGTAAATAATTAAATTCAGAGAATATGTTGATTTAAGGATGTTTGTTTTTCCGCCAAAAACAAGAAAATGCATTTTCACAAATTATTTTTGTTTGGTAGCCTTTATTGTATTCCTTATTATATTATTTATCTATATTATTTTATTTTATTTTATTTTATCTATATATTTATATATAATCAGTATTTTTGTCTTGTTTTTCAGGAAAATAAATAATTTCAATAATTTAAAATAAAAAATATATTATATATAATACAGCATCTTAATATGTGCATGAATTATATTACATTATTTTTTTCTAATAATGAATAACAAATGAATCAATTCAGAGAATATGTTGATTTAGGGATATTTGTTTTAAAAATAATAAGCAAATTCATTTAAAAAAATAGTTTTTTCCCCTCACATAGATTTTTGATTTATGCTCTAAAATAGGGGAAATCTTATTTTAATATAAAATAATAACAAACAAATACTAATTAATTGAACATAAATTCTCTGAAAACAAGTCTTAATATATTAATAATATATATGAATATATTTATTTACAGTCTTTATTGGTGCAAAATTGTGAGGATGTTTAAATGGAGGATGTTTTTAGGGGAAAAAGGTTATAAAATTATAATTTTTTTTGCCGTTTTACTTACCCTTGCTCTGTGGCCTGTGCACATTCCTGACAGGGTTCGGATGGCAGCCAGGATCATCTCAGGTTTTCCTGTGTCAATGAGTTGCACGAGTAAAGGCATATTCTGGAATATTCTCTCTGTACCCGCGTCCTCTCTGGCCAGGACAATCAGGTTGTTGGCAGCCTAGTGGACCCAACAAACATGTTGTTCAGATTTACTGAGAAATATGTGACTGAGAATATGTGTCTTTACTGTTTTAAGCTAACAGTGAACAGGACAGGAAGTTGTTCAAACCTTTTCTTGCTTTTCCTTATCGGATTCATCTGAAAACAGAATGTCAAACATGTTCTGTACTCTGGAGTCTGTTGAGAAGGTTGTTTTCAGCTGTGGGGAAAATCAGATAAGCTCTTTAGAAACTCAGATGTGCATTATGTGAACTCAAAAGCAACGATCATCACCTTCTGTTGGATCTCAGCTCCGAGTCTTCTGAGGGTCTCGAGGAAGGTCTTGTTTTTCGGCTCTAAGGTTGAAAATCTCTGGACATCCTTGATGGCCATGTCTAGTTTGTCAAGCTTCTCGAGCGCTTGACATCTTCTGTACAGAGCCTTGATGTCGGCAGCATCCACATCGATAGCTGCAATTGGTCAGAAGAAACAGATTTTTTTAATGAATCAATAGTAACATGTTGGTGTTTGAAGGTATAACGAGCCTGAAACCAGAACAAAAATATTTTAAA